GCTACTGCGACTACTACTGCTGCTGCTACTACTACTACTACTACTACTGCTACGACTTCTGCCTTTACTGCTGCCACTTCTTCTTTTGCACTACTTCTTTTGTGGCTAACCCTTGCTCCAACTCGAACACAAAGAGTCTTTACTGATCTCAATGAATTTTACAAACGAAAGCATACTTGTGGTGAGATCGGGTGTAAACGTACATACTGATTTTCGTATGTATGACTGTACCTAATGGAAGTCGTCACTATCATTATCAGGTTCATCACCATTAGACCTGAAACACTCATGACTTACAACAGCAGCCGCAGCAACAACGACAATAACAATAATAACAACGCCAAGGAGGACCATAACATGAATGCTCCGATAGATAGGCTGACACAACTGTACAGCTAAGCGGAACATCAGTACCGTCAATGTGAACCCTAAACCCGAAACCTTAAACCGTAAACCCTAAATCCTAAACCTTAAACCCTAAACCCTAAACCTTAAACCTTAAACCCTAAACCCTAAACCTTAAACCCTAAACCCTAAGCCCTAATCTGCATAGTAAGAGCAGGAACCGAGGAGCCGAAGAACCGAAGCCCTGGGCAAGGCTGGACTTTGACGTCTTTCTGCTCCGGGATCCGAGCCGGGCTGTCTTGGGCGAATCGCAGCGGAGGCCAAGCCTTCACAAGGTTTAGGGTTTAGGGTTTAGGGTTTAGGGTTCAGAGTTTAGGGTTTAGGGTTTAGGGTTGAGGGTTTAGGTTTAGGGGCCTGCCCTTGTTGGTTTGTAAGGATGAGGAGGCAAGATATTTCGAAGTGGTCGTGGCTTTGTCCAAGTTGTGCGGATTCCCCTTTGTCAACAACGCCAGGAGAGTCTCTTCAGCTCTTGCTGGTTGAGTCTTGCCAAACCACTCTCTGCCCGACGCTTGAAGCCCACTACCGCCAGCATTTTGCTTTCAGGCCATTTGTTGGGGGCTGTACAGTCCTGGGGGCCAAGAATTCCGCCGACCGCCCATGGAAGCTAAGCTGAGCCTGCTTCTGCTCGGCGAGTCCCATCTTGCCCATGTCGTTGACTGAGAGCGGTACGCACCGTAGCAGTAGCGAAGGAGCAGTGTAGCAGTATAGGAGTACCATGGCATTCCTTAGTGTCGGTAGCCAGAGGGGTCATCCTAGAAAGAAGTTGGTCTTCCCGTGTGCAAACAAGGCCCTTTGCTCCCTGAGCCTGAAGAACATCTTTGCCGTCCGATGCTGTCACCGCTCACTCAACCAACTAGCCAGGCTCTCAGCATGTTCAAAAGGGTGAGAGCACTGAGTCTCGTGTTGGTGTGATTTCCATTCCTGTTGTTTTTCTTCTGCTCCCTTTATTGTGTGTTGCTGCTTTGCTGCTGCCGCTGCTGCCGCTGCTGCTGCCGATGCTGCTGCCACTGCTGCTGCTGTTGTGTTGGTGGTGGTGATGTTGTTGCCTTCGTCGTCGTGCTCCTCCTTGTTGTTATTGTTATTGTTGTTGTTATTCGTATGGTTATTGCTACTTTTGTCCTGGTTCCTTTTATTCTTGCTGCTGCTGATTCCTGCTGTGGTTACCACTCATTTCATCACCAAGCTTCTGAATGTGGTGATGGCCTCCGAGATCATCCTAGCGGGTTCACTTCCGGGGGTGGTTTTGCAGTCGTTTCTGTGCCATTGCATGCTCCTCGCGCTCACCACAGGCATTCGCTGACTTCGAAAACACCGTCCTGCGTGAGGGTTTTCGACATGTTGCATATTATGTTACGCTTTGCATAGCCGAGGCTTTTTGTCTGATTTCCGTTCGCCACGTTCTTTGCACCAAAAAGCGCGTGGATTTGGGTAGTCCTTTGTTGGTTGTGACATCGTCTGAAGCTCAAGAAACGTGGCCTGCATTGTATATTCCTCACACCCCCTGCCATGTTGGCAGCTATCATGTGCTGTGCGCTTTTGGCTCTTTTTTGTCTTTGCTATTTTCGGTGATGTGCTTTGCTTGCTCTTTGGGGTGGGGGGTCGTGTGGGCCGTGAAAACCTCTGGAGCACACGAGACAAACCTTCAAGTCTGCAACGACCTCGCACAACAGCAATCCCGCACATGTACACACCATCGTTGTCGCAATCGCAGCAGCACGAGTCCACAAGACTCCATGCACACAGCATACAGCACCGTAGTAGCAATAGCAGCAGCACGAGCAACACTCTGCACGCGACCTAGTTCTTGTGCTAGACATGATACATCAGAACAAGTACTAGCCAAACAACCTTTCCAACAACAGTTTTTCCCAGGACATAAAAACACGAAACCCCGAAAACATCTACTTAAAACCGCCCCAGAAACTGAACCCGTAGGGGAGATCGTCGGTACGACGCCCTCCTTGCTGCTTCTGCTGCTGCTGCTGCTGCTGCTGCTGCTGCTGCTGCTGCTGCTGCGCCTGACGATGATGACGATGAGGCTGATGATGACCATGATGATCATGATAATCACGTGTACGACGGTGCCAGAGATTTTTGGCTTTATATGTCTTGGGCATGGACGTTTAGGGTTAAGATGGGTTAAGAGTCAGTGTCCCCCGTCAACTGGGACGTGTCAATGAGAATGCACCCACACCCTCCTACATGCCGAATCAGAAAGCCTGAAGCCCCGAACTCTGACATACGGCCTGACAGAAGCCCTGACCTCTCCGAGGTTTGTGGAGGTCCAGCTTCTCTCGGAGGTATCCCGGCTGCAATCCCTGGATCACTAGGATCAGACAGGAGCTGTGGATCCTTCACTCCAGGTGTTTCGAGAAAGGGTGGGTCCATCTTAAACCGCAACCCCGGCGTGCACCCGCAAGGGTCCCAAGAATTTCAGGCTGGGTACTTGGTGCATAGCCCTGATGCACAAAGTGCAGTGGAGCTTCAGCTTTACTTGTCTAGATCGAAAGCCTAAACTCCTAAACCCCAAACCCAAACCTCACGAACCCCATTCCCAAATCCCAAACCTGGTAAGCCTTGGACTACATAAGTCCTAAACCTTTTCTTGAAGCCCCTATCCGATGTCCGATATCACCTAAGCTCGGGGTGCCGCCCCGTCTAGTCGTGATGACGTTTATGAGAAGCAGAGGGTTTGGCAGGGTTTAGGGTCGAGGGTGGTTTGGGGCTGTGTGGGGTTCAGGGAGGTTTTTGGGGATGTGTGGGTTTAGCGACTAGGATGTTCAGGGACGTTTAGGGTTTAGGGTCTAAGTTGAGCTACTTTGTTCTGTGTGCTTTCATGCGGAATAAAACGCGCGCACATTGAGTGTGTTCGTGCTTGTGGTTGGGGGCATTGGGGTTTGTGGTTCTTTAGGTTTAGGGTTTAGGCTATGGCTTGAGATGAGGCAGGGCATTGTCTAGATCCTAAACCTTAAAAATACCCAAATCGTAAACGCCGAATAAAAGACCCTCAACCGCAGGCAAGCTCCTACTTCATCACTCAAAACTTGGCTCCTACCTCGGCCGTAGCTCGGCAAGACAAAAGACAAACTGAGGCCGCAAATGTTTAAGAAGCGGTGTTGTGTTTGGGTTGGGAGCCGTGTGCCTGCTTGCTATGTCCAGGGCAGGATTTCAAGCGGAGTTGCTGAGAGCGTTGAGCGTCTGAAGCATTAGTTGGCTGCGCGAGTTGGGGTATCGGGTTCTGTAGATGTGCGGTCTTGGCATTTCCTGCAGGATGTCGAGGCTTCCGGTGTGTGATATGTGAGGGATTTTTCTTGCAGACGCTTCATACGGAATGGCCATGTGCCACTCTAAAACTCAACTGTTAAACCCTTACTAACCCTAAAGCCCTCCCCAAACCCTACCGCGCAAAACCGCTGGGAGTTTTCAGATGATCTCCGGGTTTTGGCTCGGCTTGGCACGGTCAATGTTTAAATGGAGTATTCAGTGGTCAGCTGCAACCACGATCATCCTTATCAGAAGTGTTGTTGTCGTCATTGGTTGTCGTCATTGTTATGATTGCTATGACGATTAAGATTCGTATTCTTGGTTGATACGATCGAGATCGGTAGTATAAGCAGTGCGGTGGTGCCGTGATCACGATGATGTCTGTGAAGAATTATGAGGGTTCTGATGAAGGTAACGACTATTTTCTGACGGATTTCCGTTCACCAAAGGACTTCAGATTTTGGATTCAGCCTGCGTCTTGTGGCAAACCCTAAACCCTAAACCCTAAACCCTAAACCCTAAGCCCTACGGGGCCTTTCATGGCGAGGGCTTGGGTTGATAGTGGAGATCTTTGGTGCCGGTGTTCTGGGTGTCATAGCTGCCACAGGAAACCGCTCCAAAGGCAACGCAGGGGGAAACCCTAAACCCTAAACCGCAAACCCTAAACTCCAAACCCTAAACCCTAAACCCTAAAACGTAGAGCATGACAGGAATCGACTCCGACCCGGGCTTTTTGACGAGTTGGCTTGCAGTCAACCTGTTGCAGTGGGCACGAATGGATCAGATTCCAGCGACTTGTCTGAATCTGAATCTGTAGGGTTTAGGGTTTAGGGTTTAGGGTGTCCAGTGTGAATGGTAGGCAGAGCAATGGAATTCTTCTGAGCTGTTTGGAGGTGATGCACAACGTGCAGCTGCAGATGAGACAAGGGGATACCGGCCCCACTGGCATCTCACGCCGCTTTGCACAGCTGAACAGTCCGATTCTCAGCTTTGTGGATCCGGGGTTAGGAAGAAGAGTATGCAGCTATCGTAGTGCCGGCTCGGAGATGGGTTTAGGGTTTAGGGTTTAGGGGTTTAGGGTCGTAGCTTTCCGATACGTACATAAGCAAGTAAGGCACGAAGTCGGTATGTATGCGTGCATGCACATATATGCACATGCATATGTACATGTAAATATGCATGTGTATGATGTAGATGTATATATTTGTGCATGCTTGTACTTATGTACATATTTTTGTCTGTACTTAAGTGCGTAAGTGCATAAGCAAGTAAGGAAGGAAAGAAGGAAGGAAGTAACGAAATAAATATAACATTACATACATGAACACATACATACGTACATACATACATACATACATACATACATACATACATACATACATACATACCTACGCATGCATGCAGGATGCATGCGTAGATACCTACATGCATACATGCAGGCTTACATACCTACATACATACAGAAATACATACAGACATAGACGGGGATAGACGTACATGCATGCCTTCATGCAGGCAGGCAGGCAGGCAAGCAGGCAAGCAAGCAGGAAGGCAGGCATGTCTGCGCATACGTATATACATGTACATGCATACGCGTATGATATACACATATGTATATATGTATACACATAAATAAATGTATATATATATATATATATACACGCATGTTTATACAATATATATATATATGTACACACGCGAACACGCATGCACACGCACATGTGTTTGTCTCTCTGTGGTGTGTGTGTGTGTTGCATACCCTAAGCTTGCTGGCACACTGCTGCTGGTATGCCCGTTGCAACGAGGTGAGTTGGCGCGCATGCTTGCGTTCGCCAACCTCAAGCAGACGAGGCCTTGACATCAGTTGGGGGAGTGCACTTAGGAGAGGCACGCCTGAGCTAAGTATACAGATTGAACCACAGACTGTCTCGCTTGAACAGGCTAGCAACATCAAATTATCACCTTGCCTGCAGGTTTTCCTGCACAGCTATTGAACACGCCGCGATGAAAGAGCTCATTATGAAATTGCCACAGAATATGACGTGGACCGACTGCCGCTACTACGTCACTTGTCAAGTGATGTGCAAATGCTAAAGGCTTAAGACAGAGTGTGTCGTGGAGACGCAAAGCCAAGATCTGCTTGCTTCTGGGTCCGGAACAAGGTTGCTGACAAAGAGTTTGTTTCATTTTGTTTCTTTGTTTTGCATCCGTCTTGTTGTATGTGTACAGCAGCCGGGTCTGTCGTCGGTTTTGTCGGCATGCTCCTGCTCGCCGTACTTGTCCTTATCATGATTATCCTCCTTTGCCTCCTCCGCCTCCTCCTCGTCCTCCTCCTCCTACTTGTCATCATCATCATCATCGTCATGGGCTTGGCGAATCTTTTTCTTGTCCCTGTCAGATTCTGGAAAGTAGTCATGTGAATTATGGTTCCTTTTCGGGCCCCTTGTTAAAGGGTGCCGTGCTGTTTTGGGGTAATTTAAAGAAATGCCCGGGAACATGTGCTATCTTCCGCTCATTGCAACCCAGGATGCCTTCGCCATCACACGCGGGAGGAAGCACGGCGGACGCCGGTGCAAGTCGGAGCACCACTGGATTTGCCAGAAGCCCTCGGCTCAGTCGTGCGGGGGGTGGGCGGTGCAGTTGGGGTTTAGGGTTTAGGGTTCAGGGTTTAGGGTTTAGGGAACTCACCAGTTCCGGTTGAGACCTTTTCCGACCAAGCAAGGAGGAAGACAGAAGATCAAGGGCGAGTTAATAGATGCCTCGGGTTGTTTCAGACCCCCCCATACAACCCAGCACCGGCTTACAGTGCATCAAGGCCACGCTTAGAAGGGTTTTGCTACCAGCACGACCGCCACAACTAGTGAGACTTGCATCCCCAGTGCTACATGCTTGTGCTATCTTCCGCATGGCTCTTCTCAGAAAAATCACCATTCTTCCAATGCAATCTACAACCGCGAGCCCCCAACTCCAGAAATATGATGAGAAACCTTAGAACACGACTGGAGCCTAGATCCCAAAACGTGACCGTCTTGATAAAAAACGGAGCATCAGAGCAGGGTTTGTCTAGCCAACGTAGCTTTGGCCTGCAGCCTTTCGACAAACCTCCAGATCCAAAGACCGCACCCTAAGCAAAGCAATAGCTGCGAAAGGCACCACGCTTTGAGTTGTGGTTGTAAGAAGAATAGTGGTAATTTAATTGATAATGAGGCTGATGGCGAGAGTAACGACGATGGTACTTGCACTCATAATGGGATGAACCATTCGACTCGAGCTCATGAACATATTCTTGAGAATGTGAATTATACTAGTGACAAGCAGTTATGATCGCATCATCGCCAGCATAACTATCATCAACATCATCAACAACACACTATCACAATCATAACCACAAGCAGGGGCACGACAAAAATCAACTCCATTATCACCATCATCACTGTCATCATTTATCATCATCATCACCACCGTCATCATCACCGTCATCATCGTGATCACCACCACAGTCATTGTCAAAGTATACAATGTGCAATAGAACCGCGAACATACGAACAACACCAATCATGCAGCAGTGCAGGAACTTAGTGCACCGTGAAAGTCAAGAACAACAGTGGGCCCTCCAGCTTTCAAGTCAATCGCCAATGTTAAGCCTAAGCCTGCAGCTTCATATGCAGGCCAATTTAGGCGGACTTCTGCCGCAATAAGTAGTGGCAACAGCTGGGCGGTCCACGTAGCCTTAGTCTCGGGAGTTTAACCGAAATCTGGTAGTTTGAAGCAGAGTCTGGTTGGAGCAAGGTATGGTGTTTCCCTCACCATCAAAACGAAGATGGGCGACTTAGCTGTGCTGCTCGGCAGGGACATTTTCGATTCAGGGTCTTTGTGCTGCAGTTTTGACATTCAACTTCGGACTTGTTATCTTTGGAGTCAAAGTTGATGAGGGTTCCTGATTTGAGGGTTTACGAAGTTGAGATCGAGATAGTGTCGTTTCTAGCGTTGGCAGGCTTCGGACACTGGGGCAGGGCTTTTCCGAAAATGAATGGCTGGAAGTTCTTGAGGTGTCTCAACTTCACCAGGAAGATTCTTTCAGAATGTATGGAACAATATAGACTTAGAAGCCATTAATGTATCTTACAATTGTTTTGGCATACATACGTACATACATACATACATACATAAATACATACATACACACATACATACATACATACATACATACATACATACATACCTACATACATACATACAAACATGCATA